GCAATTAGCCATGACCCCCACCTGCCCAGTTAGTCCTGACCCCCACCTGCCCATGGCTCAGCAGGCTTCCTGACCTCTTCAGGTGGCAGGCACACCAAGTACCCTGCCACAACATCCAAAAGCAATTACTGTACCTCACTGTTCTGAGTTTTTTTTTTTTTTCCTGGTCTGTATTCATTTGATTCGGTACAAAAGATTTGTAGATGAGGATTTCTCTCTTGGGATGCTGCTCTTTAAACAAACACACAAAAATTGACCTAATCAGTACGTTCTTTTCTTACCCTATTAGTTTTCACAAATTGGTCTGTTACCCCCAAAACTAAGCAACTATGTAAGGAAATAAGAGGAATCTGTTCTGTTAAATAGTTAACTATGTTCTGATTTTGCAGCATGATTCTGGAATGGAATGCACTCCAGGAGAATCCAAGAGTTTGGGACAAAAAGAAAATGGCAATTACATCATGTATGCAAGAGCTACGTCTGGGGATAAACTTAACAACAACAAGTTTTCCATCTGTAGCATTCGAAATATCAGCCAAGTGCTTGAGAAAAAAAGAAATAATTGTTTTGTTGGTATGTATTTAGTCATTCTTATAAAACACTGAATATTCAGCTTAATTTCTAAAATTAACCTCACGTTTGGCATATGTACAAATAAGGAATTGAATTATGTTTTCATGGTCAAATGTTGAAAAAACAAATAGTGCAGAAGATGCAGACACATTGTTTTAATGACCTCATTGTGTATGGGTTTTTTGAGTATTGTATGCAGCGCCTTGATCACTTATTGGGTGAGCTTTTATGAGGCCTGCAGAGTTTTGCAAGCCGTTGCTAAATGGGCTTTGGACTTTCAAGTATGAGAGAGCTTATTCCAGCCTTTATCAGCACTTTTTTGCCACAAGGTCTTCATAACTTCTTTGAGAGGGGCAGGATTGCATAAAAGAAGATACTAACTTAGAGACATAAAGCAAAACTTTGTCTCATATCTGTACTGCAGATTTTAGGTTTTTGTAAGAGGAATTTCTGTTCTTGTCAGTGGAAACTCTGCACATGATATAAATTCAAAATACATAATAGGAAATAGTAAACTGGATAATGAACAACAGTACTGTACAAGTGTCCTTATAAATGTCTAATATGTACCACAGCAGTCTTAATGCCTTTAATGCACATAAATGTGGGTAATAATGTGACGCGTTAAGATTGAGTTCCCATATATGTCTCTGATATACATTTTTTCTAGTTTTATAAAAATACGCTTACCTTTTTCAGAGTCTGGTCAGCCCATCTGTGGTAATGGATTGGTAGAACAAGGAGAGCAGTGTGATTGTGGATACAGTGACCAATGTAAAGATGAATGCTGTTATGATGCAAACCAATCAGAAGATAGCAAATGCAAGTTAAAACCAGGCAAATCATGCAGGTATTTTATAATTAAGTTGCATCGTACATTTCAGTTATAATTATGCTTTTTCATTTATTCATACTTACAAATAAGATAGTTTGTCTAAATAAATCCCTTCATGAAGTGTACTTGTACATGACAGTCTTATTTGTATTAGAATGCCCCTAACTTTGTAGGACAAATGCACTTAAAGGGAACTTCCCTAACAGTATTATGTTGCCTTTTGGCATTAAAGGTAATTTACATAATAGAACATTTCTGAAATGTATTTCTTATTAGTTTTTGGAAAATGATTAATGGTTAGAACCACATATGCTGAATCTCACTGTGCGTTCAGTCTATAGTTTCTTTACCAAAGCTGCAATTAAGTATTTTCTGTTTTGGACAGCTGTCTTCTAGAAACCAGACTGAGGAGACTCCTAATTTCATTAAGAATGTAGTTTTCCCAAATTTCTCTGGTGATCTTGAATTGTAAAAATTTTTGCAAAGTATAATTAATCCCTTGCTTTCTCCCTCTTTTTCTCTTACACTTTTGAGCTAGGTAATATGCATGAGGGGAAAAAATGTATTCCAATGTATTTTTCTTGTTGGAAGGAGAATAAAGACCAATAAGATTTTTTAATATCCACTGTAAAAGGTTTTCAAACTTAAAGCAGTATCAGCTTTTCTTGTCTCTCAACTATTTCTGGCTGCTTTGTTCTCATTACATGTAATATGCTTTCCATCCTCACTGGTGCCACAGTGCCTTTGAATCCATTGAATTAAATTTTTAATGGCTTGCCAGACAGCAATGTTGAACTTCAGTCAGAGTAGAAGAACTGACACTGAAAGAGTGTTCTGCTGCTGTATGATATAAAAGACCTGGTTGTAGTACCATTTTGTTCAGCTATTCAGCTAACATGTTTAAAATACCAGTGAAACACAAAAACTTTCCCTTGCATAAAAGGGCATTGTTTAGTAGAAAACAGTAAAGGGTATGGCTTTATAATGTTATGTGCAAGAGAGCACTAACGAGTCCAAACACGGCTCCCTACAGCTCTAGACTTCCTTATCTTATATATATACTGTTGCAAATAATTTAAAGTCTATAGGGCCAGATATGTGACAGTCTATATTCATGTAAGAACTCTCTGGAGACTGATACTGCCAAGTATACATTGTTGTTGTGTTTGAATCGTGTGAAACATCTTTTTACCATTTCTGTGAGACTGTTATGCCACACTGAAAGCAACCAAATTTAGACTTACAGTGCCATATGTTTTACATGGTTTTGAAGGAGGTGATTTGAGGGTACAGTTTAATACCATACTGATTTTTCCAGCACTTCCAATTTTTAACAATCAAACTATATCTTGTCACCTTGCTTATAGGCAGTATACCATATGAGTCACTGTATGAAAATATCCAAACAAGACTGAAAAGCACATAAGTATTTTAGTGAATTAAGTTATTTTTGCAAAACCTTTTTTTTTTTTTTGTAGTCACTGTCTACTTGGCTATAAACAAACAACTCACTTGATTGGGATTTGAGTAATCCCCATAAGGGAACCCCAGACTTTACAGATGGAAAGCCCATTGTCCCACATTTAAGCACCTTTGAATTATCCAAATTAAGGTTTTGCCTCTGAACAGTTGTGGCTAATTGACATTTAAGACCGATGTGTAAATGACTCTACCTTATGTGAGGTGTATCCCAGCTCAGCCCAGTTAGTGCCTCATTAAACCGGTTATCTGTTTTCCGATCTTCATAGCATCAATTTAAAACTTCACCCAATTTAAATGCATTTATTTATTTACACTAGCAAACTAACTTCCCTTGCAGATAGTCTTTCTTTTTCAGCTTATAGCCTAAACTTTTCATCAACAATGAAGAAAACCACTAAAAGTAAACTTGAGTGATAAAAACTTTAGTTTTAATATAAGATTCTATTGTGTTGATAAATTACTGTTCTTATCATGCCTGCTTAAACACTTATGAAAGATTTATAATTTATTTCCAAGCATCCGAGTTCATAAAAATTATGATTTTGCATGACAGTATTTTGTCATATATTCAGCACCACTTTCTATAGTAAACCATTAAACTATTACCTTATTACAGAATACTATCAGTGATGGAAGATGCGATGGAAGATTATCTAGTGTTTTGAGGGTAATTTGAGCCAGGTGTAGAAGCATATTTTAATGCAGGCAATAGAATAATCATATCCTCTTTTCACACTGCTACTTTTCATAGTCTACTAATACCACTTTGTATATTTCTAAATCTTTCCAATCTTGCCAATCTTTCTCCATCTTCTTTCAGCTCCTACAATTTTAGAATCATAGCAAATTAGGGTTGGAAGGGATCTCAGGAGGTCATCTAGTCCAACCCCCTGCTCAAAGCAGGATCATCAGTGTATAATTTCCTAGCTGAGGCGTTGTCTAGCTGGGCCTTAAGAACTTAATAAAGATGGAGATTCCACAACCTCTCTGGGTAGCCTGTTCCAGTGCTTGACTACACTCCTAGTGAGAGAGCTTTTTCCCCATGTCTAACCCAAACGTTCCTTGCTGCAACTTGAGCCAGTTGCTCCTTGTTTTGTCATCTGCCACCACTGAGAACAGTCCAGTTCCATCCTCTTTGTAACCACTCTTCAGATAGTTGAAGCCTGTTATTAAATCCCCCCTCAGTCTTCTCTTCTCCAAACTGAATAAGCCCAGTTCCCTCAGTCTCTCCTCATAAGTCATGTTAGAGGGCTGGGAAACCATTTCTGTTGCCCTCTGAACTCTCTCCAGTTAGTCCATGTCCTTTCTGTAATTGGGGATCCAAAGCTGGACACAGTACTCCTGATGTGGTCTCTCTAGCAGTGAACACAGGTTTCCCTCACTTTATGCAGGTTCTGCACGTGCAAATTCGCTCTTATGTAATGACCCTTTTAATACCAAAAATTCATTATATGCGAGGTAAATGCACTCTTATACGATCGATGTGGTGGAAGCCTGCAGTCAGCTGCTTTGTGGAGTGCGTTGTGCCAGTGACACGCACCAAAATGTAGTCTCCTGTGTGAATCTGTGCACCTTGCTCATTTGCAACACATTTCTGTAGTTGCCGTCCCCATTATAATAGTGCCCTGTGCTTGTGTGTACTGATGTTGGCGAGTACCAAAATAGTCTTGTAAAACTGATAGAAATGGGTCTGGGGTTCAGTATGGTTGAGGTCTTGGAACGAATCCCTATTTGTTACACTGTAAAATGGTTCCCTTTATGTGGATTCGAGTTGCATGCCATTTTCCAGGAATCCATGTACAGCGTAAAGTGAGGGAAACCTGTAGAGGGGAATAATCACTTTTCATCGATCTGGTGGCAGTGGACCTACCAGTGCAGTCCAGTATGCTGTTAGCTTTCTTCTCAACAAGGGCACACTGTTGGCTCACATTCAGCTTATTGTCCACTGTAACTCCAAGGTGCTTTTCTGCAGAACTTCTGTTTAGCCAGTTGGTCCTCAGTTTGTACCAGTGCATGGGATTATTCTGTCTTAAGTGCAGGAGATTGCACTTGTCTTTGTTGAACCTCATGAGATTTCTTTTGGTCCAGTCCTCCAGTTTGTCTAGGTCTCTCTGAATCCTAGCCCTACCCTCCAGCATATCTACTACCCCCAGCTTGGTAGCATCCATTAACTTGTTGAGGGTGCGCTCCATCCCATCTTCCAGATCATTGATGAAGACATTGAATAAAACTGACCCCTGGGGCGCTCTACTTGATACCAGCTGCCAACTAGATATAAAACCATTGATTACTACCCTTTGAGTCCAACAACCCAGCCAGTTTTCTGTCCACTATACAAGTCTATTAATCTAACGTGCACTTCCTTAGCTTGCTGGCAAGAATGTGGTGGGAAACTGTACTAAAAGCCTTGCTTAAAGTCAAGCTTTCTTGTATCCACTGCTCTCCCCACATCCACAGAACTAATCTTCTCATTATAGAAGGCCATCAGATTGGTCAAGCATGACTTATTCTTGATGAATGCTGACCGTTCCTTATCACCTTTTCCTCTAAGTGCTTAGAGATGGATTCCTTGAGGATCTGCTGCATTCTTTTTTTTTTCCAGAGACAGGCGAGGCTGACTGGTCTATTTCCCCAGATCTTTCCTCTTCCCTTTCTTAAAGATGGACACTATATTTCCCCTTGTTATGCTTTTTCATACTATTTCCCCATATTAGGCTTCTCCTAAATAAATAAATAAATAAATAAAAAATCTTCAGCTAATTTTGAACCACTAGGTGTTAACCTTGCTCAGTTGCCTTGCCTTATGACTTGGCTCAAATTTAAATTCTAACACTTTAAAAACACATATGGAGCATAACAAGGCAGACATCAAAGGAATGCTCCATCATTTTGCTTTAATTGCTTTCCTTTGCCCAGCTCTCTATGTTGCTTACTTAAATTGAAAAACATTTCCATGCAATTGTATTTTACATGTCTTTGAAGCACCATGTATGTAAATTGCTGTTTGAGTGAGAGTTTTGTTGTCTTCTGTTTAAGTACTCTGACAGCTATCATTGTATTTCCCTCAGTCTTTTATTTCATATCGGTAATATAAAATATGAATTTTAGTATGCAGCAGCTGTACAAGACATTTAGAACTATATCTAGTCAAAATTTGGATTTCTGAACCTGAAAAGGCTACATGTTAATTTCTAACTATGCTATCAGGGAGAAAACTACTGAGCATAAAAAGGGCATAATATATTGAAAATTTGGAATAGCTTGGGGCAAGAACTTGCTATGAAGAATGCTGGATTTCATCCCAGTGGTTGGTTGCTACTGTGTTACCTATCAGGGAACCCCAGTGTTCTGCTATGGATATGTAGTGGGTCCTCTAAAGAAAATTAACTTTACTGCTTTGAGTACTTGTCCTGTGTCCATGTACCTACCATCACTGTAGGTGCACATGTGCCAAGGACATAAAAGGCGGTGCACGCTTCCTGCTCCTCAGTTTTTGTCAAGCTGTTATGGACTCAAGATGGGGCACTTTGTTGATTTATTATTTCAAGATACAGCTTTGGTTAAAGCCCTGTTGACTGCCTATACACATGCTGGTTTGTGTTCTAATTGGAACACTCAGCACTACCTCACCATCATGGGTATTGGTCCCTGTGGCCATGTTTAAACGCATGGGGGCTTAATACATATGGCAGTGAGGCATTTTAATTAGAGTGACTCTCTGGGAACTGCTCTAATTAAAAAACAAAGCATGTGTATAGGCAGCCTTTGAGGGCTTTTTTACCCCTTTGAAGTTTTTGTTTTGGTAAGAAAAAAATACTGAGGCCTTCCTTTGACACACTTCTAATACTTTTAATATGCTCATCCCTATGATCAGAGGTCTTCCTCTCATCCGTGGTTCCAGATTTTAATCCAGCCCGAGATCCAGCTTTTGTAATACTGCTGTCAGCCTTCATTTCAACCTTGAGCATGATTCCACTTTGAGCATGTCTCTGGAGCCACCTCACCAGTCTACAAAGTCTATAAGTAGAGAGCGGTCCAGGTTCTCCAGACTGCCTTCCCAGACCTCCTCACTTCTGACAGAGTGGCTGAAGGGCTCATACCCATCTGTGTTATGGTGTCATTTTTGGCAATGGGGCCTTCAATTTTCCCGTTATTGTGGAGGCCTAAAGTAGTCTTGCCTCTGAGACAGACAGACTCCTGTTTCTTGTGTTGTGGCTGACAGGAAATTGGAGAAAAATACAAAGTCCTCTCCAGAGGTGCCTGAATGGTTTTATATTGAATGCCCTGTTGGCAGCTGTGGCACATGAGAAATCTAAGCAGCTATTCATCACTAGTAAAGAGCAAGAGCCCAAACTTTTTGACTTCTTTGGACAAAAATCAGCTGATCTTTGATTCCAGACAGCTAGCTAGCAAGCTCTTCTGGGAAGACATGGATTCCATTGCATTGCTGGTACCATGCACTGTTTACCACAGGGTATGTAGTGATCAAGAGATCTCTTCAGGCAGTGCTGGACACTGAATACTACCTCCTGCTCAGTAGTTATGGAACATTGGTCATGAGTGGTAGGGTTCCAGGTTTCCCAAAGGTGTTACAGAGATGGTTTTACCTTTAGAAGGAGAGGAGTTATACAGCATGATGATAAACTCTCCATACACTGAAAGGTTCAAGAGCCACTTTACATACCCTGGAAGCATAGTCCCCAGATCTGAAGAAGAGGTATAACTAGTAGACATTTACTGTACCTTGAGGCATTCCTATTAGTCTTCCTCTGTTTGGTCCCAGAAAGTATCAGTTTCAAGAAGGAAACAGCATTTAGCTGTGCAATCTGTGGGTGTGAAAGCGGATGTACCAGTGCATTTCAGAAGAAGTTTCTACAATAGTTATTTTATGGTCCCAGAGAGGAAAGGGGGATGATGATGCTCCATCCTGACTCTAAGAAGAATTTTTTTTCGTGATGATGATACTGGCTACCATTATACGGTCTCCTCTGGGTATCTGTCAACTTTCAGAATCAATATTTTCATATTGCAATCAGACTTTCTTGCAGAAAATCCCTATTTTGTGGTAATTTAGGACATTTACAAAGTCCTTCCATTCAGGCTCTTGCCAGCCACAAGTAGTCTCCAAGGTACTCTGGCTGAATGCTTTTCACAGCTGAGGGAAGAGGGAATGGTCAGGTCACAATCTGCCTTTTCATAGGTTATTTGGATGGTGAAAGGGGCCTTCTCCAGCAGACGTCAGAGATTATTCTCACAACAGTGTAACTGTTCCAGGTCATAGGGCTGTTAGTGAACATACAGAAGCCCAACCTGGCTCCTATTCTAAGACTGGAGTTCAGAGAACCTACTGCGGGTGTCATGACATGTAGCGTGTCTCCTGCAGGAATGATTTAAGGCCCTGGGAGAACTCCTTTTGTTAGCTGAGCGTGAGCCCGCTACAACAGTCGAGACGTTTTTCTTTGTCTTGATCTATACTGCCATGGTGGTGCTGGTGTGTCTCAGACTTCTCTGGTGCATGTCCTAGTTGTGAGATGTCTGTTTTCTAGCAGAGCACCTGCTGAGTGCACTGATAACACCCTCCCTTATCCCAATGGTTCAGTCTTCACCCAGGTAGCAGAAGGACCTATCCAGTGTATACAGAGGGTTGCCATTCCTACACTTGCACCTGTTTGTGACTGTTTTGTGACAGGTGTGAAAATCTGTCAAGCTTTCCTGCACTACATTTGAGGGAATTGTCTACTCTATTAGAGTAGACACAAGACTATAATATGTGTTATATCAGCAAACAGGATAGCACCAGAATGTGCTTCTTAGCAATCCAGTCATGGGAGTAGTGCAGGGACCGCTCCCATGTGTGTGATTTCCAATCAGTAAATAAATTTGATGGTTTTCTTCCTGTGTACTCATTCCTTAAGAGTCGGGGTGCCATTTATTTCTAGATGCTTGAAATAAAAAGAGCTTTGTCCTTCTACCTAAGTCTGCCTCAGAAAGCCTTCACAGCCCTTTATCTCTACAACAAGAGGTAGAGATCAAAGGGCACCATTTTACAAGCCCAAAGATTGTCCAGATGATATCTTCCAGAGTCAAACTGTTAGACAATCACAAAGGTGAAACCGCTTGTACGACCAGAGCTTCCCTGTGCTGAGTCCATCGCTGATATTTGAAAGATGGTTGCTCAGAGCTGTAGTTATGCCTTCATCAAATGCTATTTGAGTATAGAAACCTTCAGGGCTGATGTTGCTATTGGTGTGGTGGTCCCTGTCACTCTTCATGTAGGTAACTCACACTTCCCTCCAGGTATGTACAAACTGTTTTGAAGTCACCCACAGTGAGAATCTGCATATGGACATTACACAGTGAACCACCCCAGTTTACTCCTAAGTAATTTCTTTCCTGCCTCCTGCTGCAGTTGGCATATTAGTGGTACTGATATTCTTATTAGATATCTTTTATAAGAAGTATTCTTTTAACCATCTGTTAGGATTGAGAATATTAGGATTGGTGATCTGCTTCTGGCCTCTCCAGCCCATGTTGTTAGCTGCAAGTGAACCACGACTTCCGAGGTTATTTCTGTAAGCCCGGTTATTTATGGCAATCTGGTAAGGAAGGGATCAGATTTATGCACCTGTTTAATTCTGAAAATGGCATTTCAGGGCCTTTTCATTTTACCAGGAGACTGATAAGGTTCCCTTCAGACCAACAGCTATGTAGGTGATTGAGAATAGATAGACTGCTTGTGACTGAACTTTTTAAAAATGAAAATGATGCCGTCAGACAAACTAGTTCTTCTTTAATTTAGTCTATGCCAGTAGTAGTAGCAGTTGCTAATCGACTAATTATTTACACAGCCAAATTACAAAATGAAGCCCCTTTCCTTTAAATATTTATGAACATGCTCAAACATAAGTGCACATGGAAAAGTCATTTTTCTAGTGCAAGTAACTAGAAAGAGTTTTGTTATTTTTATATTGTAATCACTACAGTTGACACGATGAGAATTACTGCCTGCAGTGTAGCAAATATGCTACTTCGGGGGGGAGGGAAATCAGTATACGGTTTTTATGGTCTCAGATGGGAAATAACAAAACTGTTGGTGTAGATACAGATGTAAGTGGCATTCTGCTTAAATGTGGACATTTCTTAGAAAAGTTTTTGTTTTATTTTTACCGTTTGCTTAGTAAAGAGTTTGAAGATTTGTCTGGCTTCAGGATGCAAAACTAACTTCTAAAAAATTTGTTTTCATTTTTCTTCATTTGCTTTTTCTGATTCTCTTTCTAGTCCTAGTCAAGGACCCTGCTGTACCGCACAATGTACCTTCAAACTGAAAACCGACAAGTGTCGGAATGATTCTGACTGTGCAAGAGAAGGAATGTGTAATGGTTACAGTGCTCTCTGCCCAGCATCTGATCCTAAACCAAACTTCACAGATTGCAACAGACAAACACAAGTTTGTATAAATGGGGTAAGTTTTATGGCCTGAGGTAATGCTACAAATTGTAAAGCAGTGTGACTCCGGTACCTATTGAGGATAGCACTGCAACAGAGTCTTTTCTTAAACTTGCGGGGGGAGTGTTCACTTCTTCTCAATTCAGTTAATATCAATGGAACAAGCGAACTCAGCCATTTAATATTTTGATAGCTCAGAGACTGATTAAATAGATTTGTAGAACTAGCCAGATATTTGCAAGGTGCTTTTTAAACCATGTTTAAGATGTATTTAGTTTGACTCTTTACGGCACATAGCAAGATGAAAGTTTTCCTACCTTTGTTTTGTTATCAGTCACTTTCATTTGAAAAAGAACAAGTTTGTTTATTTTGGGTTAATCCAACTTGCAGCCTATGGAAACTTTACCTATTGTTTTTTAGATGCTTTGGATGTGCTTGGTTTGGTTTTATAGGAGAGTAATACAGATAGTTCCTGTGTATGTGTTATGTTTATGCATATGGAGTAATCCTAGACTCCTAGCACTTTCCCGATTTGCAGAATCCCTGGAAGTAGATGGCTCTCTTCATGAATCAATCACTATGATATTTTGAAGCAAAGAGAAGAGAGAGAGAGTCTTCATATTAGACACTAAGTAACACCTGGGTATTTTTATACCACTAACTTTTCATATCAGGTATATAATGCAGAAACACACTACTCTGCTCCACATGTAAACCTCCTGACCTGGATGTAATTTATCCATATTAGAATGGTGCCACACACAAACAAGTTCTAATGAGCTAATTTAGCCCGCTTACAATGCTACATTAAGGAGACCACTCTGCTTCTGATCAGGAAGCAGTTTTCATGGAGCAGCATGGGCTGGTTCAGCGTAGCACTGTCTCATACAGTAAGTTAGTAGGATAGGCATGCCCCCATTGTCACAGTTTGGTTCTAACAGTCCAGTGATGGCAACAATCCTTTGCTGCATGAAGAAAAGTAAGATTTATCTGCAGTCTAGTTATGAATACAGGAGCCAAATGTTCAAACAACTAGTGTCATCTTAAAATGAAGAAATGGCAGTAAGATTCCTTTATAAATTTACTTTTATTTTGAAATAGTGTGTTTTTAACTTTACTCTGGATGGTGTACTCTTTTGCTACTGAATTGGATCCTGAGGGATCATCCAGAATTTGAATCACATTTGATAAGATTATCATGACTTTGCTGCCTTTTTAGGAAGGACAGAATATATATCTAAAATATAAATAAATTGAATAGTCTTACTTTTCCAAAGGAAAACAATTTCAAATACTGTCTCTTTAACACTTTTGATCTATTTTTATTTTGTTGAATAGCCATGTCAGTGCAATGGTTTTGATAAAGAATTCTTTTTACATATTACAATGCTGTGCCTAGTTTTGCAACTGTTTCTTTGCAGGTTTCCATCATTACTTACACCTAAAAGCAACA